TATATATATTTATATGTATATATATATATATTACTCACACACGCGTCACTGATATACTCTACGATTCTTAATTTTGTAGTCACGTGTTCAAATATATATATTTGTGCCGTGTAAATATGTGTACGTAGAAATGGACATCTATGGTCATTTATGCATATCGATATCGGAAATTTTGACAATGTGGATAATTTTGTTCATTACAGCACTCCGCATCCGTGATAGGTAGGTATATATGTATTGGCATACACTCACATGTGGCGTGAACGTAGTATACAGACACATTCGGTATACCTCTCTCTTTAGCCGTGCTTGATGTGGTGTGAATTGATGAGAATCCATGTGACAAGTTTGTATTGACATAGGACCATTGGTCCAGATAGTACGCTATTGGTGACTCTGCATGTGATATAAGGCCCTACAGTCCTCTATTGCTTCGGATGGGCGGAGCAGGATTTCTTTGTCACGAGCTATTTGCTAATGTTACAGATTCCCAGTGCTTAATCAATTGGGAAAAATCGCACGTCTCGAAGTATTCAACTGTTGGCGTAAACGTACCTTAATTCTGGCCTGTATAATCTCCGTAGCCTGCTATGACTCTGTGGGCGAGCTAGGGGAAATTGGACTGGTCATGTTCAGAGACATGAACTCCGAGGTCAACTCTTTCTCACGCACCTTTGTCAAAGAGATCCGACGCGCCGACGAGATGGAACGAAAAATACGTATGTCTGATAAATATTGGAGTGTGTGTGTCGGGTGCCTGGTATACAGTATGCAATAGGATCAGATACATCTTGATCATGAGAGCGCATATACTTCTGTCTGTCGACATTCTCCTATAGTATCGCTAGTCAAACAAAGTATATGTCCGGCTGTTTATAATACCCTTGGGTCCTTGGGCTCTATCATATTTGCTCAGGGTTCTGTGCTCAGCAAATGGAGAAGGGCGGTATAGTAGAGGACGCGACAGAGCTTTTAACGTACGAGGCCGAAAGTAATTGGCGCCAGCCGTCATACTCCGAAATTGAAGATCTGGATCACAAGCTGACCCGCTTAGAAACTGGTATGGACAAGTGACCGTTAGCGGGAGTGTCTACTGGGTGTATTTAATTGGTGTGGTTGATCTGAAAGTGTCTTCACTTTGGTTGCAGTGGCTACTATGTCTATGCACTGGGCTAACTTTTCAAGAAGTATTTTTATTTAATCCAGCGTTGGCCTTCCTCGCCCCGGGTGTCATGGAAGTCTAGTCGTGCCTGGTGTATTCAATGGGGGTCAGTCGTTATGTGTTTGATATTTTCTCTTCCTATTGACAGTTACGTGAGCTGTATATCTCAATTGCGCTCATGTCGACCCACATATGCCACACAGAGCTCAAAGAAATGAATGACAACGAGAGGAATCTGCAACGCAACTATTTGGAACTGATTGAACTGCGTCACATCGTCAAACTCACCGCTCAGTACTTCGATGAGGCGCGCAGAAAGTAGGCCGTGTTGTTACTGGCATTTTAGGGTTTTAGAGTTTTATGATTTTTGGGGTTTAGACACATGCTTTAGTTGTAGGACTACACGCACAACCAAGCTATTGAACTATTGAGCAACTGTCTATGTGGATGTTATAGCAGGCTGACAATATATTTACTAACATTGAACCTACTGAACTATTAGTAACAACTGTCTATGTGGAAGTTGTAGCACACCGATACTGTATTTACTAACATTGACTATTGAACTATTGGTAGCAACTGTCGATGTGCATGTTATAGCAGGCTGACACTATATTCACTATCATTGAACCTATTATTTTATTGGTAACAACTGTCTATGTGAATGTTGTAGCAGGCTGACACCATATTTACTACCATTGAACCTATGAACTATTAGTAACAACTGTCTATGTGGAAGTTGTAACACACCGATACTGTATTTACTAACATTGACTATTGAAATATTGGCAGCAACTGTCCATGTGCATGTTATAGCAGGCTGGCACTATATTTACTATCATTGGACCTATTATATTATTGGTGGCAACTGTCTATGTGAATGTTATGGCAGGCTGACACTATATTTGCTATCATTGAACCTACTGAGCTGTTAGTATCAACTGTCTATGTGGATGTTTTAGCAGGTTGACACTGTTTTTTCTAACCCGGAACCTACTGAACTGCTAGTAGCAACTGTCTATGTATATTTTATAGCACGCTGACACTGTGTTTACTTACATTAAACCTACTGAACTGTCAGTAGCAACTGTCTATATACACGTCGTAGTACACTGACACTGCAGTTAATAACATTGAACCTACTGAACCTTTAGTAGCAACTGCATATGTATGCGTTATAGCACACTGACACTGTATGTACTATCATTGGCTTGGCAGGACGAGTGCGGGATCCTTCTCAAGTGAAAACGATTCAACGGCCCTGCTTGGGTTTGATGAAATCGAGACGGCGCCCGGTCGCACCGGTGTGAAGGTAAGGTTTGTTGGGTTCGAAGTGTTCTAGTACACGCTCGTATCATATGCTATGTCCATCACTTGCGGCAGTAGTTTGAGACGAATCCACGTCAAGCCTGGTAGGCCCAGGTGGCCCGTACCACCATGCTCCTACCACCCGCTGTTGGACTATCGCCACACAACACTATAACCACCCAAGTACTTGTTCGTGTTAAACCTACCGCACCCGAACCTCATATGCGCCTGTGCCACTGCGTCCTCTGCACCTCCCGCCTCTCAGTTGGGCTACGTGACGGGCGTGATCCACCGTGACCGGTACGAGGCCTTTGAGCGCGTCATGTGGCGTGGCACACGCGGGAACGTGTACATGCGCCATACGGACATCCAGGAAGAGCTGATGGACCCAGCCACGGGGGAGATGATCACCAAGTGTGTGTTTGTGGCCTTCTACCAGGGGGGTGTGTTGGAGACAAAGGTCAAACGCATCAGTGACGGCTTTGGGGCGACTAACTACCCGTGTCCCGAGACGTATGAGGAACGCAGGGCACTGCAAGCTCGGGTATGGCATTTGAGGATAGGTGGGGGTGTGTAGGGATATTAGGCTGTAGTTGTGGGTGTTGGTGTCTGGGTAGTGTATTGGGATAGGTGGAGTCTCAGGAGAGAGAGCCAAATTAAGTGGAGTAGTGGTCGTACGCGCAACTAAGAACAGGTGACTGGTATGATCTGTTCATACGTGATGATGTATGCAGGATGATTCGTCTATATACGATGATGCATAGAGGGTGATCCGCTTTTACATACGATGATGTATGTTTGATGTTTCGTTTCTATATGATGATGTATGCATGGTGATCCGTTTACATACGATGATGTATGTTTGGTGATTCGTTTATATATGATGTATATATGATATTTTGTTTATATATGTTGATGTATATGTGATAATTCGTTCATACACGATGATGTGTATTTTAATAATGCGCTTTTAGAACACACGCAGCTTACGTTCACATACGACATGCAACCGTGAACGTACAATTTGTCAGCCAAACACTGTACAATTTTGTTTTTGCGTATGAATATGCTGCCGATGAACAATTGAAACTTGTATATTAATTCCGTAGCCCATCAGACACGGTTGCCAGCGCAAGTGACAGTTCGGTACCCGCGAACCTGGGATAAGATCCATTCCTGAGTATTACTACTATTAGTGAGTGGTTAAGCCTAATCCCTCAGTAGGAAATAGTCTACTGGTATTCCATTCGCAGGGGGTCACCTCGCCCAAAGTTATAGCTACCTGCATTCAATGAATTTGGCCTGCTCCACACATTCTCTCCTGTGCCAAATGCAAAACGTTCCTCCCACATCAACACAGAAAGTCCATATCAACGCAGTGCCGAATAAACAACGATACTCTCGGGCTTATTTCTGCTGCACAAACTGCTTGTTACACACACCTGTGTACTGCGATACGTTTGAACCGAACTTTGAAAGCCACGAATTGATTTACGGGGTGCATATATCCCATTCTTGACTCCCTAATATAACAGGTCGCGTCAGGTATTGAAGAGTTGCAGATGGTTCTGGCGCGTACGGCGGATTTCAGGAAACGTGTGCTCAACGAAATCGCCGATTCTTACGAAGAGTGGTACATACAGAGCATGAAGATGAAAGCCACCTATCACACTATGAACCTGGTAAGAAAGTTTCATGTGGGTTTTAGGGTTTTGAGGGTTTAGGGTTTAGAAGTATGGTGACAACCACTGTTCATAATAATTTGGAATCTGGTATAATATCGATTGGGTCTACACCCTACAACTTATATCAGACATGTTTGCTTTTTGGCGTAATGTCCTTCAGATACAGTACAACATATTGTGTTTGTAATATATGCAGCTGTTAGTCAATTTGCTGCTGTTGAGGTGGTGTTTCTCATTCCCACGAAAATCGATCTAATCTATTAGTCTATAAACAGATCGTGCGTACAGTACGGCTACCCGCAGGTACACTTGCTCTGCTGTGTCATGGTGCTGATGCACGAAGACAGAATGTGCTGTGTATATTATTGATATGTTTTGTAGTGTTTACGATAGTAATGGTGTCCTCTACTCTGTATGCACGGGGGTGAAGTATGCTTGTGAATACGGCTACAGTTAGTTATGGATGTCAAGCACACATCACACACCAAGCTTCAGTCTATAGCAGCATTTACATCCTGATAGTGCGACGTAGGCACACACTTGGGATATGATACAATCCATACGTAGCCACACACATCCATGCACATGCGCGCAAGGGCACGTGGCGCTAGGATATGTTTAAATATATGCACCGGTGATGCCATAGGTTTCTGGCTGATGCCGCCTCTATCGTTAATACACACATGAGGTTAGCTCTACGACTAAAAGCACATACATTGAGGCTGACGTTGTTCTTCGCTGACCGTTAACGCAATGTTCGGCTTATCTATACAGTTCAATTTCGACATGTCTGAGTCCGCATTGATTGCTGAAGGGTGGGTGCCCACGGCCAAACTGTATGAAGTCCAACGCGCGCTTAAAGATGTCACAGACCGACTTGGCTCAGGTGTCCCGACTATTGTAAAGACAACACACACCCCGGAGATGCCACCTACCTACCATATAACCAATAAATTCACCTCCGCTTTCCAGGTATACTATCCTATTACATATAACCTCACACATATCCAAATTATAATATATACTCAAATAACTTATATATATATATATATATGTATATACATGTATATATTTATATATAAGGGAATAAAATATACATACA